TCAAACTGATTTCTTTGTATAGGAGCCAATAATGAATTTCTGCCTTTCTTGTAGACATTGTGGGAATTTTTTCTAGTTTTCTAGTTTTCTAGTGTGGTATACAGCATTATCAAGTATGTCATTGTCATTGTCGTCAAGCTTTGGGAGCATGTCTTCAAACCATCGTTCAAATGAGCTCTCGTCCATTTATTCATGATAGTCGGTCATTATGTTTAACTCAGATGTCCATAGATCTCCCAGATCTCTTATCCCGTATTAAAGTTAATGTACGTCAGACAATCACTAACATTTTGTTCTACTACTACTAGGACAGGACAAATCTAATGTAGCAGCATCTTGTAACCTTCAACAACACTACCTGCAGTACAATGACAGTTTCATGTGGCATCCCACAGGGTCCTGTGCTGGGTCCACTTTTATTCTAAATATACATAAATGACCTTCCTAATTGTAAAACAAACAAAAAATGACACAACAATGCTCTGTAGTAGCAAATCGATTGATTTACTTTTCTCTGCGAATATTAAATATATAATAAATTTAGAAAATTGGTTTTTAGCAAATAAACTGGCACTTAATGCTTCAAAGACACAGTTGTTGGTAATAAGTTGTGTCACTATACCGTCAATACCACAGGCACAGTAAAATTTTTGGAAGTCAATATTGATACACGTGACTTGAGAGGGACATGTAAACAGTATTTATTCTCAGGGAACTATCCAAGACCATTCAAAAAAGGGAATTCCCCTAAAAATATATATTTAAAAAAATACAACTTTAGTCGATAGCAGCTTTATAAAATAAAAAATATTACATGAAACACTTCATATCAGACACTATAACTTTTATCTACATCTTTCTTCTGGAAGGTCTTGAAAGTTAGAGGAGGGGTTAATTTGAAGCCGCACTACCAGCTCTCAAACGTGAAAACTATAAAAATGCTAACAGTCTCCCGATTTGACTACATGTGGTTGAATCAAATGGCTTCCATCGAGTACAACATTGAATGGCAAGTAAATAAAGGACTGACATTAGTCGAAACGCTTAATTGACAATTTTACTACTAAAAAAATTAAAATTAACGGCCGTATAGACCGTTGATTTTAACTTGTTTGTAAACAACGTGGACAGTAAAATTTCGTTCCATTAATCTCGAAATAAAGTTCCATTTAGGTCTCGGTGAATACCACTTCCTCGCAATATCAATGTAAACACACATTTTATACGAGTTCTGCAATTATTCCACCAAAGCTGCTTTAAACTACAATGTACAATTAGAAATACAATAAAGTACTATTCGCAATAAAACCTCTTCACTAGGAACAAGTTTCAGATACGACCCGCAGAGGTATTAAGTATCTTGAAAAGTGACATTATGTCGGTTTTTTGTGACATTATGATGTCAACTTGGAACAAGCTGTTGTTTACTTAATGTGCACACGTTGTGTAGCTGTACGTGTTGCCTAAACGTCATGACGAAACGACACGAACGAAACCAACGAAACGAACGAAAACGAAACGAACGAACGAACGAAACGAACGAAACGAACGAAACGAACGAAACGAACGAAACGAACGAAACGAACGAAACGAACGAAACGAACGAAACGAACGAAACGAACGAAACGAACGAACGAACGAAACGAACGAAACGAACGAAACGAACGAAACGAACGAAACGAACGAAACGAACGAAACGAACGAACGAAACGAACGAACGAACGAAACGAAACGAACGAACGAACGAAACGAACGAAACGAACGAACGAAACGAACGAAACGAACGAAACGAACGAAACGAACGAAACGAACGAAACGAACGAAACGAACGAAACGAACGAAACGAACGAAACGAACGAAACGAACGAACGAAACGAAACGAACGAAACGAACGAAACGAACGAAACGAACGAAACGAACGAACAACGAACGAACGAACGAAACGAACGAAACGAACGAAACGAACGAAACGAACGAAACGAACGAAACAAATACAGCATAAAATAACAAACTCAGAGACGAAATTACACACATTTGAAGCAATATATACACAGTGGTCTTTAAAATTTAAGCTTGTGTCTAGATACAAGCCCAAGAATTTTACTTGCATGTCAAGGGACATTCTTGAGCCATTAAAAGTGATATTTAATGCCATAGGTTTCTTCTGGATGTTTGAAAGTGATGTTTTTTTTCAGAATTTAAGTGAAAATTGTGAATATTTTGCAGTAAAACTCTACAAACTCTCTCTAACGTAGCCTCACACTTATTCGATATCACCACTGAAGTACCATCTCCATATAAAATGAATCTACCTTCAGAGGAACAGCAACAGCAACAACATCATTTATGTATAGAGTGAATAGCACAGGTCTTAGAATAGAGCCCTGAGGGACGCCTGAGGTGGTTTGAGCCATGTCGGACTTAATAGGCGCATTTAGACCACTACCGACGATACAAATTCTAAAAAAGACCTCATCCAATGATATGGTGGACAGACAATTTATGCCATGCGTCCATATTACGGACAAGAGGGACCATGGTACGGTGCGATATACTTGTCAAGCACCTTATTATAAAACCTCACACTCATGGAACCATCATCGCAAATGTCGTCTAAACTAGTATGAGATTGCGCGAACACTCTCAAAGTGCTGGGAAACCGAAACAAGGTAACATTGCTCTGGGTACCAGGACATAAAGGGCACACAGGGAATGAAAAATCGGATGAGTTAGCCCAATAACAAATGGACTAAGAAAATGGGTGGATCAGCCAATTGGGGCAAATGCAGGCAAAAGAGTTCATCAAAGAATTACGGCCTGCATTTACAGAGGATCAACTTGGCTTCAATAGGGAGGCCATAAGGGCCATAGTGGATTTCCTGACAGGACACTGTCGTCTCAGTCAACATAAATATGAGGCTCTTGGGTCTGGCAGAACAGTCCTCATACTAGTGATGTAAAGTTTAGTTATTTTCAAAGACTTGTAACGATTAATTACTTTTAATACTGGGACTCGTTATTAGTTACTCAGTATTCTTTGTAGCGTTATTTATTTATCTGGTCTGAAAGTACTTATATACATATAGTACAAAGTAAAATATAGGTAATAGTTATTAGTTATGTTTGTGGAGGTCTTACAATAGATAGATTCTATCTATGATCTCGTTACTTGATACCTTGCTAGTAAATATTTACTACCGAGATCGATTAATATTTCTTAATTTATTGAAGTAAACAATTATAATGATAATAAGTAAAAATTAATTTGCTCAGTTTCTTAAAACTACTTTCTAAAATAAACAAGGAACATAACCATATTTTGCTCACAAAAATAAAATATGTTATATGCATCAAATAAACTCTAGTAATTATAAATCTGTATTACAACGTAAAAAAGGATACGTTCTATGTTTTTATACTTTAATCTATTTCTGCGTTCTGTTATGACTTGCCCCGCTTTTGAAAAAATTCGCTCACAATTCACCTGTGATTCGCCAGAATTCCAAACAAAATACCCTTTGCCCTGTCCTATGACATCTATTGTAGCCAATTGAGTCATCTGTAAACTAAAACATGAACCTTAGCGCGGAGCGCCGCGTGGTAGGTTTCTGCGAAGGAATAAACAGAAACCACGTCGTACGTGATTTAGAATTAGAGGTTATAGAGCGCAGTCTAAAATAAAAAAGTAACTAAATAGCAAAAAGGACGAGTCTTTTTTACCACAGGTATCAGTTATTTTGAGTCCTGGCAAGTAATGCTTACTTTGTAACTGTTACTCAAATATCGTCCATCGCTACCACATACCGTTTCTGCAGAGAGAATGAGGAAACCCCAGAGCATCTCCTGTGTCACTGTAAAGGCCTGGGAAGACTAAGGTTTCAGATAGTAAGAACTACAGGTCCAACAGCGGAAAGCTGCATGCAAGGCCCGAACAATATTTGACATATAAAGGCAGCAGCGGTGGCCGCAGTAGTAGACTCTTCGGTCTCCTGATCAGTCGCCGTGCGCTGTGCGGGTTCGAGTCCCGTCCCAGGAGAAATTTTTCTCTTGGCTATGGATGTTGTGATTATCCGTAGGTGGTAGACGGTCTCTGACTGTCGAACGCAGAGGTACCACCCGGCGGATCTCGTGGGCGGAGCCAGAATGTGTACATGTTGCATGCACACGTGTTCCCTCGCCAGAGTCCGTGTGGCGTTCCCCCTTTCCCATGTATCCCCCTATAGCCCCACGGTACCCAATGGGTGCTTAGGCCTTAGGCCTTCGTGGTAGTTGGAGTATAAAAAAAACTATGGAGATTGATTAAAGGATCAAGGTTAGACACAGTGCTTTAGAAAGTGTAATTGGGGGCCACAGACATCAATTTGGGTCGCAGTGGAGTTAGCGAACCCCTTTCTTCTGTAATCTGTAGGGCATCATGCATAGTGTCGGTCCAAACTCTTTGGCCTTGTTAAACATATGCATTTAATTGTATGGGCAACTGACACCGGAAGTGAAACATAAAATTTCCTACATTATTAAAAATAATTAAGGGCGATGTAATGCACAACGCACACGAGAGATATGATAATTCCAGTAATTAGCAAAGTTCTGCCATCAAAAAGTTGTATTATTTAGTCCGGTTCCGAGCTGATGACGTTTTTGAATTTTGCAGAATGCAGGACATGCTGCGGCAAATTTTAAATGCAAATAATAATGTCATCGTTATACGAAACATTGTCCAAATAGTAATATAGCTAGACGGCCAGCCATGGACAGATGTTTCGTGCTATTTCGAAACTCCTCTGCTTGGACTAGGCTTGGTCTCAGGTAGGAAATCGAACGAAAGCTGATCTAACAATACAGTGACATCGAGGCATCCTCTAGCCACTTCGCCGAATCTAGACAATTTCTAGACAAATTTTGTAACAAAGGACTTTGAATGACGTATGGATTATTGCTAAACCGTACAAAAGGAATCCTTTGTAATCTGTTCCTGATTTATTATTTTTTGCAATGTAAATATGGTGTTTGAGGAAAACGTAAGCTTTGTGCCCTTCAAAAGCTACCCGTTCTGTATGTTTCCAGAATTTTCTAGCAACTCGTGCCAGATCTTGCCAGCACAAACATGAAAATAATATGTATTGTAGTATAAACTCTTTGTAATCAAAAATTATTTACTACTTTATAGTTCGGTTAGCTATAAAAGCGTGTTTTTTAGTTTCTTCAGTTATTTTTTATTTTTAATTTTTTAGTTCGATTTATCAGATAGTTTTTGTGAACATGTGGTATTGAAATGCCTCACGAATCGTTTCGTAATCTAGTCGTTTCATTTAAAGCTTCACTGTTGCATGGGGTTTTTCTTGTTGACTTAGAGCAAGCAAGTTCTTCAATCTGAATACCATCTAAAGATCTTACACGACTAAGTGCTAGCTTAACGAACAGCAAACAGTCGCGAGCCTAGATAAATGACTGCATGATCGACTGTACAACCTTGCATCTTGTGTACGGTCAAGATTAATGGCAACATTCGACATGAACAAGGTGAGGCTGCACTACCTTGAAAAAGTATCTGCCTTCATTGTGCTGTGCCGACTGCCCGAACCAACAAGGAGTAAGTCCGAAACTGCACGCATGCGCATATCGCGCGCTAGCTCTATCTGTCTTACTCCCTTACAGAGGATCTATAAAAGAATTTATCAATCCTGGCGGACCAGATAAGCATAATGGAAAACTGTAAGATACCAAATTATTACATTACCATTAATCAAGCTTCTGGAAATTGGTAGAAATTATACTCAAAGATTCCATTACATATACTAAGTGACATATACATCCGAACACCCAATTTTAATAAAATTTTGTATAAGTACTTAATGAAAAATGCACTGCTTTAAAGCCCTTTGACCTTTAATAATGTGTGGATGCACCCTGATGTGCTACGCATTCTCCAATGCGCCTAGGCATGCTTCTGATCAGGTGGTCAATATCCTCCTGTGGTATCTCATTCCAGGCAACCACTAACTCCTCTCGAAGTGCTTCTAGAGTCTGAGGAGGACGTTGCAAATTGAGCAATCTCCTACCCATCATATCCCACACGTGCTCAATTGGGGATAAGTCGGGAGATCTTGGTGGCGATGGTAACAATGTGACATCATTATGTTGAAAGAAGTCTATTGTGACTCTTGCAACATGTGGTCGGGCATTATCTTGTTGGAAAGTTGGATCTGCCAGGGTGTCAAGATAGGGTAAAAGATGGCGTTCTAGAACTTCGTGGATATAACGCTGCGCGTTCATGTTACCTCTGATGAAGATTAAAGGTGACCTGGAACCATAAGCTATAGCACCCCAAACCATAACTCCAACAGTGTGATGAACATGCCTTTCAACAAAAAACTGTGGATTCTTCCTTTCACCATGTCGCCTTCTAACCCTGGCACGACCATTTTGCATGCCTAAACAAAATCGAGACTCGTCACTAAAGACAGTACTGTTCCATTCCTGATCCCAGAGTGACCGTTGTCTGCACCACTTAAGGCGATTACGTCGGTGTTCTCGAGTTAAAGGGAGGACCCAGTGTGGCCGGTATGAAAACAAGGCAAAACTTCTCATTCGTCGGTAAACACTTCGCATGCCAATAGGTCTTCCGTGTTCTGCAAACCATTCATTTGCAATGGACCTGGTAGTGGAGAAACGGTCCCTTAAGGCCAATAATCTTAGGCGGCGATCTTCACGGTCTGTTGTTCTACGGCGGCGTCCAGTGCCCCTTGCTCTTTGCGTACGGCCTTCTCGAAGCCATGCCTGACAACACCTAACCACAGTGTCTACACTTATTTGTACTCTAACTGCAATTGCCCGAAAAGAAAGTCCAGCTTCCCGAAGTCCCACTATACGGCCCCTATCAAACTCACTAAGTTGACGAAATCGTACAGGTCTCCGTACTCTAGGCATCGTAACCGATCGTAAAGTATATCAAGAACCAAAATCCGCCAACGTTGATTCTTTACTGCGGCTGAAATATTCATTTTTAGAGCGTTAGTGAATTAAAAAAAAGCAGTATAAAAACCGGAATGTCCAACTGATAAGCCTGAAAATTTTTTCACTTGTTATTTGCAGTAAGATAAATACATTCACCAACTTTTATTAAAATAAAACCATTTAAACTGGGTGTTCGGATTTATGTCACTTAGTATACATACAGACCAAGCTAATATAAGCGTATTAAAAAAATCAGCTTGGCCCGAAACTGACCAAACTTTATCCGCCTATTACTCAGAAAGTAATCATATGATGGATTTGGTCCCACGAACACTTTTGCGCCTAATTTTTAGACAAATCGACTGGGACCCATTTTCCATTTGTTTTGCGCCTCGGCTTTTCCAAGCTAAAGCAAACGGGAGATGTCCGCTCACGTAATGTTATAAGCGACAAAAAACTAAATAGCTACTAGGCTGCGAGGCTGTTCTGCAAAGCCGTTAATGTATTAATATGAGTACAGCGCGCAAAGGGCATAAACGGTATACCATACATTAACTTTATAATGATGAATATAAATGAATTTGGCCTAGGGCTCAGCTGCTCCAGGCTGCAATTTTAAGTAATTTTAAAAACGGATTCCTCACGACACTTTTTACTTATTTTCCTCGGCTGTCCATGCCACAGCATATACAATACTACACAGCAACGCAACTTCCGACAATATGATAGCCTCGCATAAGGGTTACATACAGTTCAAGAAAGTTTGCTGCTGTATATTAGATATGCCTTGTTGGAGTATTACAATTATATTATTGAGAATCTTAAAGACATCACTTTCCATATTTCCATTCTCTGTGGCTTATCGCGTGCTTTTGTTTGTGTCAATCACAAAAACTTGAATGACAAACTTTACATGAAGGGTGTGCGTGTGCACCATCAACATTATAAATGAAAAAAATGTTAGGTTTTTCCTACTTTAACCAATGGCCTTGCACTTGTTGGTATTTAGATGTAAATTCTTGACATCACACTAAGTCATGATACTATTCAACACCATCTGTAACTCCAATCATGAATATCCCTTATATACGAATATATTTTCATATCGTCTGCAAAACATAATTGCATACACTTCAAATTTTCACAGAAGTCGTTAATAAACAGTAGAAAGAAGAGTGGTCCCAGGAGAATACTTATCTCAAAAGGTATGATAGTCATTATTTAAATGGGTGATAGAGGGGGTTAAAGAATCAAAAAGTTTCATATAACATGGGGGTCAAAACGGGATTTTTTTAGAGTAAAGCGACTTTAAAGTAAAATAAAATCTGACAACGCCGCAATTCCAGACGCAAATTACGATGGAACGCAGTGTAAATAAAGATGGAGTTTGTTATTTTTGGCTGTTAGGTATTATTTAATTATTTGCTAATGTACTCGTAAAATGCTAACAATTAACGGACTTACCACTAACTGTCTCAGCGCTTCACCTGGTGTGTGAAAGTTTATTGAAGGTATTGAAAAAATCCACTTATAAATAGGGAACACAATTTTGATACATTCATTGATTTTCTTTTTAAAACCCACACTGTACTTTTTTGTATTTAAAGAAGGTGTTCAAAATGTCGTCCTCCACACAAGCTCCATTACGACCTTACGAATGGTATGAGGATTTTCTTGGGCCCACGTGTGAGTATTATGGAAATTTAATATCCCGTCTCGCGTAAAAGTAAAAAAATCCGGATTTTCAACGTTTTTGTGCAAAAACCACTGACAGAATATTAGTCTGCGAGGATAGTCTTCTGGTAAGAAGGACTGCACTCGTTGTACATGGTAGGGATAAAGCAAATTTTCCCGTAGGATTCTATGAACTATGGTATGCGATAGTCCTACGCGGCGGCCTAATTCCCGAGTGCTGATATCTGCATTGATTTCCACGATATTTAAAATTTGTTCCTCCTGCTTTACAGTAACATGTCTTTCATGAGTGCGAACATCAGTGGGCTGAACACTTCCTGAATCTCGAAGTACACTTGCCCAAATGTCCTTCTGTCTGGGTGTACCCGTTGTCGAAATCTGTCGCGATATTTTTGAGCTGCAAGATTTGAATTCTAACGAGCTTCACCGTAAACTAACAACATTTCGGCGAACTCTTGATTCGAGAAAATTATAAATAAACACGACGACGTACGCGACCAATAACTATCCACTGTTACCGTTTGCGATCGATTGCCGGTTCGATAAGAGTGATGATGACCGACGCGCTGTTGTCATGTGTGTTTTAAATATTCATTTTAATGAAACTTACGTACTACTTACTGACTACGAATTTTGGCTCAAATTAGAAAAACTTAATTAGTTGTTAATTACCCAATTTAAAAAAGTTTTAGATTAGATTATAAAAATTAGTAAGATTGTGGTGATTGTGGTTGATATAAAGCACTATAAAGCCGATTAGACAAAAATCTATTGACTTTTGGACCATGTGTCATATGAACTTTTTGACTTGTTTTAATCTCCCCTATTACCTATTTCAATAATGACTAGCACAACGTTTACACCCTGTATATTACAGATATTCAAAAACAACGATATCTGCAATTGAAACAAGTTCTATATATTTTGAATATCCGTAACAAAATTCTGTTTTCTATTACAAGTAGATGGAACCCTCATTTTTACTACTCTGATATGTCTTATTGAAAAAGTAGCTTGCAAAGCGAGCACATTTAATACAACTGCATCTGACGTTGCAAAACAGAGTTAGTTATTATCCACATTATAAAAGGCTTATACTCTTTTATTTTCCTCTAGGTTTCAATATACCCTCCTTATTTCTGGTATAATGAGATCTGGGACTTACGAGGGAATCCGACCAGTACTTTCCAAGTTATATACGGGACACGGACTAGTGGATAAACAGACAAACAGACAGACTGAGAGAAATTAGTGACATGGTTTTTCGTGATGTACATTCATACAACATCAAAAAGACAATATTTCATTTTCGATTTTTTACTACGGTTCGTACACAAAGTTTGTATCGCATCAGTTCCTCCATTTTCAAAAGAAAAGTTTTATTCCATGGATGGGTACACACAAGAGATATAAGTTTTGTAAATACTTCTTCACAAAGCATATTTTTTTCATAAGTGCTTTACTTATGCCATTATGATATACGTACAATGCATTACCACCGCCTACGAATTTTAATTATTTCAAAAAACAAGGTGTAAAAATGCTTCCGTACATGCGGTGAGCGATCTGTTCGAGAACGATCTCGATTACTTTGAACGGAATAAATACGCAAGGCGCGGCGACAGTGCGCTCAGTTTAAAACTGAACGGCAGTCCAGCGGTTGGGTTAGAGTTTGCCTGCAATTAAAAACACTAGGAGCAGTGGTAAGAAGATGAAGACATGCCATTTCCATTCGGAGTGGGTAGGACAATATTTCTTTACAGAAGTTAGAGGTAAAAGTGCATGTTTGTTATGTAATATATCTGTTTCCGTTGCTAAAAAAGGGAATATCGCACTATAAAACTGTACATTTAAATTTTGAAAAATCATTCCCATTACGTTCTGCAACCAGAACGGAAAAACTGAAACAATTAAAAATTCATCGGGTGTCCCAGATAATTACACAAAAGAAGAAACCTTATGAAGATAAGGAAATGATAAAACAGGCTGCAGATTCATTATTTGCCAACTTTAGGAATAAAGACGAGATAGTGTCTTCTATAAAATCTATGCAACTTTCTGCTAATACAGTGATGATACGAGTAGAAGTAATGAGCAATGATAGTTTTACAGTTAAGGAATCACTTCGGTAACTGTGCTTATTTTTCACTGCAGCTGGATGAATCCACAGATGTCGTTGGCCGTGTTCGTCAGAATGGTTTTTAGCGATCTTACGATTAAATAAGGTCTTTTAAAGCTTATTCCACTAAAAAAACAGACTACTGGACAGGATTTTTCTTCTTCTATTAAAAATAATATTTCTTCTGTGAAAATTCCAATATCGAAAATGGTAGGCTTGACAACCGATGGCCTCCAGCTATGGTGGGTCGTGATAAGGGTCTCGTGGGGTTATGTCGTAAAGATGAAAGTTTTCCGCAATTTCTCTGTCACCACTGCATTATCAATCAGCAAGAATTATGTGGACATTTTCTAAAACTAAACAACGTTATGAAATTATTTGATATACTACAACTATTTAAAACTGTAATGACTCATACGCGTGATCAACACGTGATCAGAGCTCGATCCCGGCTTCCTTCCAGTACAGCCGTATAGCGTACGACATATGTCGTTTCTGTGGCTTTGCGGTGGTCAACAGCACAGACAGAGATGGAAATAATGGCTGATTGTTCTCCGCCGGTAGAACCAATGAAATCAAAGACGCGCCTCGACCGGCAGACTCATACGCGTCGGCAGCGCATTGGAACGTGTTTCGTTGAGCGATCGCATATTGTGTGTTTTTATAAGAATTGTTGTGTGATTGTTATTGTTGTGGTTTCTGTGGTTACTGTTTTGGTTATACTTAACCATGGATAGTACAAATGGCACGAGTGGAAGTACTGAAAGCCAGGGAACAAGTAGACGGCTTCGTAAAGCACTGAAGAGGGACGCGAAAGAAATCGTGCTCAACGTGTTCAATTATCTGAACAGAACTATGTCGCAGGGAGATGCACTCGCGCGTTGTGAAAGTATGACAGGCGTTCCAAAGTGGACCATTCGCAGGGTGGTGCATGAAAAGAAGAAAACTGGAGCTACTACTGATCCAAAGTTTAATTTGAAGGGACGAAAGGCCGTTAAATTGGATGACGATAGCAAAATGGCGTTAAGGCGAACCGTACATTCATTCTTCTTTAGGAATGAGATACCAACCCTCAAGGCTGTACATGCAGCGATCAAGGAAAATGAAATTATACCCCAAATGAGCGTCGAGGTAATGAGGAAATCCCTGCACGAAATTAATTTTCGTAATCGGAAGTCAGTATTGATAGAGTGGCCTGAAATAGTCGCCTGGCGTCGAAAATACGCGAAATGATTGAATATAGGCGACAAAGCAGAAAAATCTATTATTTGGACGAGACATGGGTAAATGCAGGTCACACAGTTAAAAAAACCTGGATAGACAAAAACGTAGTGAGTAACCGACAAGCAAGCATTGAAGGTTTGTCAACAGGTCTTCGTGGACCGTCAGGGAAAGGTCAAAGATTGATCGTAACTCATATTGGTAGCGATAGTGGCTTTTTAGAAGAGTGTGACTTGATTTTCGTCTCTAGGAAAGGAGGTGATTACCATGACGAAATGAATGCCAGCTGCTTCGAGAGCTGGTTTCAAGGGGTGCTTCAGCGAGTTGAGCCCAACTCTGTGATCGTCATGGATAATGCTTCCTACCATAGTCATCGAGCCGAACGTGTACCGACTATGGGATCTCGAAAAAGTGACATGCAGCAATGGTTGCGCGAAAAAGGAATCCCGTTTGACGATTCATGTGTGAAAGCGTAATTGTATGAAAAAATTAAACAGCACAAACCTGCGAACATTAGTTACGTGACTGATGAGATGGCCCGTCAATGTGGTGTCACTGTGCTGCGGTTACCGCCCTACCACTGTGAACTGAACCCAATAGAGCTCATCTGGGCTCAAGTGAAGGGTTATATTGCGCGCCATAACACAACCTTCAAATTACCAGACGTTAAGGTTTTACTTGAGACTTCCATATAGCTAGTAACGCCCGAAGCTTGGCAGAATGCTATCCGTCATGTTGTGAAGGAAGAAACAAAAATGTGGGAGCTTGACCACCACATCGACACCATCATAGAGCCAGTTATAGTCAATTTCAAGGAGGAAAGCGATAGCGACAGTTTATTTCTGTCAGATGTAAGTGGAAGCGACGATGAATAAAGGTAATTCCCAAATTTTTGACTTACAATATGTTTCAAACCACTCTTTATTAAGCATGTGACAAATCTAGTTCATCCATGTTAAACATTCATACCCCGCCTATGAACAGCCGACTACTGGTAGCTAAGTGATGTTCACGTGAACATCGATGAGTCATTACAGTTTTAGATAGTTATAGTATAGTCAAAATTGTGAACAAGATTAGAGCTCAAGCGTTACAAAGAAGATTATTCAAAACCTTTTTTGGCCGATGAAATTGACTATTCATACGGGGAACTACTTCTTCACTCTGAAGTCCAACATTTAGCTAAGGGACGAGCGCTGAAACGTTTTAATGATATCATATCTGCCATAGTTCAATTTTCCAAACAACGTGATGAACCGATTCCGGAACTGGAAAATTCAGTCTGTCTTAGAGATTTTGGTTTTCTTGTGGATATTACAGAACAAAGACTAGCAGAATTGATTTCTGATATCAAAAGCTTGAGTTCTGGGAACAAAACTTAATCGATGGCATTTCCCTGTTCTTGCAGAAAAGATATCTCAAAGTCCATTTGAACCATATGACAGTAAATATCATGTAGAAATAGTCTCTAACTTGAAGGATAACTTCAAAAATCGTTTAAAGGATTTCAACGAAATTGCTATAGCGGCGCAATTTGTTGTTTCACCTTTGATGGAAATTGATATCCAGCAGTTTGCAACTGCTGTTACGCAGAATTTTAGCGAAGACATCGCTGCGACAGAAATGGAAATGATTGCGTTTCAAAATGATTTAGCTTTAGAATTTTTAATCTCAGATACAAAATGTATCAGGCCTTCAGTAAGAAAAGATAAATATTCAGTTTTACGTCGTGTTGCCTTGCGTTATTTAGTTTAACCTATTTGTGTGGATCTTCTTTTTCAAATATGAAGTATATTAAAACCAAATACCGTAATCGACTTATAGATGAACATTTGGATATGTGTATTCGAATGGCGGTATTAAATTATACTCCAAACATTAAAAAAATTGTCTGAGTGTCAGGCTTTTCATTGAACACGCATTTTTTTATCTGGACATGTTTTTGTTCAAAATAGTGCGTGTCAGACTTTCGAAAAATTTTGTTTATTTTTCAAACACCTACGATTGGTAGGAATGGATGTAGTTATCTAGTAGGTATTAGTTATTAGTTTATTTAAGTTTATTAGTATGTATTAGTATTAGCAAAAGAAACACATGTACAAAAATAAGCGATCGAAGTTGCACATACCTCTTTCATTTTCTGCGCTCCAAATACCGAATTGCAACGATGTATTAGCCCTGAGGACAGTCTAAAAAGTATTACTGAAACTGCAAGGTAATGTCCCAGCAATAAATTATAGATAAAAGGAACCGCATTCTATAGGGACCCGCGGCTTGGTTGGGTTGTCTCCAGTGGCGGTGGGCTGCTGCTGTTTATGAGTATTTTGAAAGCAGATGACGTATTTATTTTTTTTAAATTTCAATATTCAGGGAGAAGCAGGTTGTTTGATTAATTCTGATATGGTAGGTCGGATGTTTGGTATTGAGTAGACAAGCCGTAAGTGCTAGGTTACCGAACATAGTTACGTATGGAAAATGAACATTCTCAACTAAAATCTATATACGGAAAACATTTAGATTACGAAATTAACGCTTGCTATTTATCCATCTCGCAACTATTTCATCAGCTATGAAAAGTATTTCACCAGTATCTAGTTTAACCACTTTCTGTGTCTATACAAAACTGCATTCTGGTCTACATGCTACTCACTAGTAGGTTCAGCCACTTTAAGTATAAATCCAAGTATATAGAACTTTTCCTTTTACAGTTATAATTTTTCAATTTTATTCGTCTGGAACTGCCTAGTTTAGTCCCATAACTGAAATTTGAAACGTACTGGTAAAAGTTAATTGTAGGCGTGCCACTGGCGTGGTTGATTTTGCGATGGTAATTGTTTCCTATAGATTGAGATACTTCTCAACCCTTGTTGTTTAATGGATTTAGCATGGATATCAATCAGTTGTTGTTTGAATGTTTTATAAATCAATCGTGTTGGAGAAGAAAGAAAATTAATTTTTATTCAACTACCTTATTATAACAGTGAACTGGTGGATTTTGATTTCTTGTTTGCGCAACCTACCTTTTTGGCTTGTCTACTGAATACCACATATTTGACCTCCCATACATAAATTCATCTCTCAACCTCTGTTTGCAATCTGACCAGTTATTAAACAGATCGTCGGCAATGAGTAATCAGGGAAGCAGACCCACTTCTGCGACCTGTCCGTATGTAGAGCGTACCTCTTTTTTCGAGTACAATTTATTCCCGGTTTTTTCTTTTATCTCCTTTGGGGGTTATCTGGGTATTCGATAATTACCTGATAGTGCTACCGCTGTCTGGTGGATTACTCGAAGTAAAAGCTAAACATACACGCTAATGTATACCGAGCGGATGGGATAAACAGGTTACAATAACCAAGAGAGTTTTGAGCGTAGCAACCAGTATTCTTAGGGGCGTATCGTCAGTGGTTTCTACAATTTTAGGACGCCTTTATGGCCTCCTTGATTTTCATATTTTGCAACTTTTCCGCATCAGCCCCCTATTTTGAGATTATGTCACAAATATCTATTTGCATCAATTTGGTCATGCTTTTGATTTATATCATGTTTTATCAGGCTGAAATTTCTTACAATTCAATAAGAAAACATAACTGCACAATAGGAGAGCGCGGACCCTGACACGGAATAAGTGCAATCAAGAAGGTCATAAATACGTCCTACAGTTGTACGAACGAATGACGATACGGTCCTTAGAGAAATTTTACATGGATTAACCTTCAAAACACAGTGTGTATATTTTATTTCATCTCTTGTGTTATGACGATTTAAAACTAGGAAAAATGATAGATCGTTATATTAAAAACCACCGCAACTTCTTCCACCCTCTAATCTGCGGTTGGTAATATAGGAATCATCAACTTGAGCATTTTATAGACAAATTGCTCATGGGTAAAAGACAAAAGGTAAGAAATCAAAGACTCTGACTGGAATGAAGCTTTTCAAACGCTGAGAGATTTTCGGTATGGCTTCACGTGTATCGGCGAGGTATGGGTAGAGACACAGAAGGACAGATGATTATGATTTGTTCACCAAAATATTCATACAAATCATACAGTGGCGGAATCATGAATCTGAATATCCATAATAGCTAGTAAACCGGGCTGCTATGCATATTTTTAGCATGTATGTCCAGCTTTACATGCACCCTTCAACTGGATAGAAACACCAACACACATGCGGCTAAACAATAGGCTTTTTTTCTTTATCATTTACTACCTGTAGGCTACCAAGATATACTCCAATAAAGAGATTATTGTTCGGTAACATGTTTGAAAATGAGTGTAAGGGCGCTAAAGTTAGTAACCACAAAAGAAAGCAGATTCTCCAAACTTGGTGCTTACATCCTAAAAGCTTTTTCAGTGTAGATGGAAACAATCACTTTGTTTTTTAGACGTTCGTATTTATTTTTCGGTGAACATGAATAATGTAAACTGAAGAGTATAAAATTAAATATATCATGAAACGTCATAAAAATATAAAATTCGAAATACTTTGAAAATATTCGCCTTTGCTCATTGACGTAGGATGTAAAACTAAATAACAAATTTCTACCGTGTTTTTATCTTTTTGCTGCTACCCACTCATGAATCGCAAAAATTTAGTTGTTTAATGAAATGAGTTCCAGCACGGTGTAACCTAAAACTAATAAAAAAGAACGGTGTGTCTTTGAGTTTCATGGTGTTACAACTCAAGCGACGATGTCTCAAATTCCAAGTATGTTGGAATAACAATACTCGTCTTTACATCATTAGCGGAGCATCAAAAGATCAGCACCCTGCTTCCTGCTAGTTTGGCGACACGAAAAACACTCCTGACTGTGTTCTGCAGTCAACTACCTGCAGGTGACCTTCATTACCTGGATCTTTACCTTCCTCCTCACTACCTGCTATATCACAAATACCACAGTTAGGATTTTGCATAACACAATATAATTTCAGACACCTCACCAAAAACTGTTTTAACGTGGGAGTGACGCTACTGTTCTATAGTCCATATAATTTCGCCACTACCGCATAATACTTAGGCGCTAATGCGACGTTGCAATTCGGTATATTTGGAGGGCAGAAAATGAAGGAGGTATGTGCAACTTGGATGGATTATTTTTGTACGTCGCATACAACTGTGTATAATTTTATTTAAGTTGGCTTACATTGTTTACGACTAGCTAGCTCACTGTTTATTCCAAAATTATCAAAGTAGCTCAACACACTGAAAAGCTTGGCGACCACTGGTGTACAGTAACAATGGGACCGCAAGCATATTTGTCGCAGCAACTTTGTTATAATTATTATTAGTATTAAAGTACATTCAATAGGTGCGTAAAATTATCAGAACTAGTAGAAGGGTATAAATGCCCAAAAGTTGAGATATACCTTCCACCACCCCTCTCCCAACTGCGCAATGTTTTACCTTCAAGAGCACTTTGAAAATCACGAATATATTCTCAGTTTTACGATAGTGTTCAAGTAATGTAAGTATTTGTCATAAGAATATATGATTGTAAGTACAGTGAAAGCTCCCATAAGCGGACACTCACGGTTCCGTAACTTTTGTCCGCTTATGGGAGGTGTCCGTTTAAAAGAGAGTATGTAAGTATAGAGTATAAATAACGGGGTATATAATCATGAGGAAATGAGGTATTATAATCATGAGAAAAATGAAACAGAAACTCGCCACATTTTTAAAGTATGTATTTATGCTATATATCTATATATACGCATACAAAAACATAAATGCTTCAATACATGGTACGAGAATTTAAAAAAAAACATTATTCTTTAGCTTGTTGAAAAAAGTTTAAAATGTTTGTCTGACAAAATTTCACCATCTTTTGCTGAAGGAGACAATTTTCGTAATAACTTTCTAAATTTTTCAAATGTTGAAATGCAGTGAAATCATCTTTAGCAAATTTTTTCAATATAGAAATATGATTTAGAGCTTCCCCATATGAATTTATCGTTTTTGAACCGCTTAGTGAGTCCACCAGTTCCACTTCTTCTTCTGAGTCGTTTGGACTACCATATTCAAGTTGGCCTGGGCTTTCTACATCCAAATTCGAAAAGTTGCCAATGGCATTTTCTTTTGTTGTTATGTTATTGTCTATGGCCAGGAAATCATCTACTTTCTGGGGATCTGCTACTCCTAAATGTTTGGCATGTCGCAGTAACTGAGCAAGTGTCGCTAAGGGCAGATCGTCTTCAGCATCGCAATAATTTTGCTCAGCAAATTCTGAGCTACATTCACTTTTTCTGAATCCAGCTTTGTCAAAACAGTTTTTAATTGTAGAGGAATTTACTTTATTCCATGCTGTTTTTATAAAATACAAAGCTTCTAACACATTGATAGACTTTGTAAGCTCAGATAAGCTTTGACCATCGTCAATTTTTGTTAAAATATGTTTTAAAATCAAGTGCCGATAATAAAATTTAAAGTTCTGTATGACACCTTGATCCATGGGCTGACAAACAGAAGTTGTGTTTGGCGGTAATAATATAATTTTCACATTTTTCATTTTCATATCACGAGGATGAGAGCATGCATTGTCTAAAAATAAAAGAACTTGCCTTTTTTGGATTCTCATTTTCCGGTCGAATTCGACTAACCACTCAGACATGATTTCTCGGGTCATCCATGCCTTTTTGTTGGATTTCCAAGTCGCTGGTAGATCCTTAATAGCAACGTTTTTTAAAGCACGGGGACGAGCCGCTTTCCCGATCACAATCAAATCGCATTTTTCACCGGCCATATTTGCACAGAATAAAATGGTTAGTCTATCTTTAGACAACTTTCCACCCACACATGTTTCTCCTTTAAAGGACAGAGTTTTGTCGGGCAATGCGCGAAAAAAAAGTCCACTCTCATCTGCGTTGTACACATCTTCTGGTTTGTAGCCAAGCAACATGGACGGAAGTTTCTCCAAAAATTGTGACACATCAACTTGATCTACTGCAGCAGCTTCGCCAGATATGCATTTGAAACTCACACTATGTCTCTTGCGCCACTTTTGCAGCCACCCGTCGGACGCACTGAAATTATTATAGCCCAAAGTAGTGGCGATTTCTTTAGCTTTCATTTTCACTAACGGCCCTGAGATTGGAATGTTCTGACTTCTAGCTCTCACAAACCACTCAAAACATGTTTTGTCTATAGCAAAACCTTCCTTTTTTAAAAAATCCTTCTTTTGATTTATATTAGTTCCTGATTGCCATTTACTCCTGATATCTTCCTTATTTTTGGCAATTTCAGCTGCTTGCGTTTTCCCAATATTAAACCTCTTTGCCAAATGACGAACTGAAACACTTTCTCTGTCTAATACGTTAACAACTTCCATCTTTTCCTTTAACGAGAGCATCCTTTTTTTTGGTGCCATTTTACAGTTACAATAATAAAATACGTAACTCAATCAACTACGAATTTGCCTGAACTGAAGACAAGCCACAAGATTACATACAGGCTACCCAACGAAATGCGTAAAAGGGGAATCACCTAATATAAATCGGGGAATCACCGAATTTTATGTATGTAGATATGTGCATTGCAATAAGCGGAACTAAAAAATCGTCCGGGTATTAGAGTTTCGCGTCCGCTTATGGGAGATTTTTTGATCACATACAGGAAAATCTAGTGTCCGCGTCCGTTTATAAGAGCGTCCGTTTATCGGAATGCATTTAACATTGAAAATTGATGGCTGAAATTCGGTTAAAGGAACTTTGTCCGGTTAAAAGAGATGTCCGCTTATAGGAGCTGTCCGCAAGGAGAGCTTTCACTGTACTTAATGTTTCATGTTAACGAAAGACCTTATTTTATATATTTTAAGTAATATAAGCATATTAGTACAATTAAGATTTGGTGCTGCTAACTTGGAGTAGTGAGGTAAAATAAACCTAAGGCTGCAGGTGCCATCTGGGAGAAAAATATATGTCTGCGTATATTTGTGAACCCCCTCGTAGTTGGCGAAACTATAGTTACAGTTCTCCGCACTTCAAGGTAATGCCTTTAATTCTAAGAAGGCTTTAGCTCAGGAAACGGTTATCTCACTTTGCCGCTAGTACTTCCATTCTTGAAATAGTAATTTGTCCGAAAATATTAAGCTAGGTTTATTTCTGCGAGTTTTAATTCGGCAATTTGAAAGTCAAATTGGCTCCGGTAGAATTGATCTGGTAAATAAAACAGCTTTATTTATTCCAGTGGCATAGATTAAACTGTATATATGTAGGCGCTTAACGCTGGTTATAAATGGACTTTTCTGATTTTTATTCTCCTCTAAGCCCACCTAAGCTGTCACTTCCAATGCAAATGGGAGTTTTTCAGAGCGCTCAGCTTCCAAGTTTGATAAGCCCGTCTTTTTACTTCCCATGCATTAATTGGAAAGGTACTGGGATGTCGAAACCTACGAGGTGATGGCCCAGGTTACTGAGGATACGCAACAGTTTTTTCAAATTCCCTAAAGTCCAGGTCCATTAGGTCCATTACATCAAAAACTCCTTCTAATTCAGGGTTTCCCAACCTTTTTTTGTTGAGGCTCCCTGGACTATAAATTATATTGTCATGCCCCACTAAACTTTTTCAATAAATACAAAAAGATGCACATTGTATAGGTACAAAGACTTTTATTTTAATTCTAATAAAGAAATTTTAAAAGTTTAAATAAACTAATAAATAGTTTTTATCGAAAAGCTTGAATAAAATAAGAGTAGGCACTAATCAGACACTTGAGATTGCGCATGTTCTGTACCAGTTGGTTGATTCTAGGTTCTGTTTTTGCCAGAGCTATCGTCAGGTCGCTATCGACATCAAGACGGTTTCGCTGTTTAGTTTTAATTAAAACTAGGGCAGAAAAGCCTGTCTCACATATGGAAATTGAAGAAAAAGGAACTAGTATTCGTAAAGCAAGAGAAGCAGGTGTCGAATTAACAGGCAATCTTTCGATCCAAAGTTTATCCAATGTTAAAAGATGGAAGTCATATTTCATGGACGAATCAGCCTTCATTTCTAAAAAGCCTTCCTGAAATTCTTCTGGTAATTGTGACACATCGACAAAAAATGGATTTCTTGTCATGCGCCATGGTGACTCTGAATTGATGTCTCGAGAGTATCGGCGAAATTCGTCTTCCAGCGCTTGCAAACGAGTTTTTAGGCCGAGAGAAAGATATAACATTTTCAGAAGACACTTTTTGCTTCCAAAGTTGAAGCTTTGATATGAACCCCTGAATATAATAATAATTGCCTATTACAGTGCTGTTTCTGCCCTGAAGTTTCAAGTTTAGCTCATTCAAGGAGTCAAATATGTCAGCCAAATAAGCCAACCTCCATTGAAATATGTCATCTTTGAACATTGTCAAGAAATCGTGTTTTTCTTTGAACTCAAGAAAAAGAATTACCTCTTCTTTCAACATGTTGCCTTTGGACAGCCAACGTACTTCTGTATGGAACTGAAGAACTTTGTGATAGAATCGACTTCCTCGCAAAGTAAAGTAAATAACCGAGCGTAATCTTCGGGAAACTTTCTTTTTTCGCTGCCATTTTGCACCTATAATAATAAAACAAATGCGTAATAACTAAACAAAATACCTACATGTAATTACTAACTATACACCCATTATTTAAGCGTAATGTATTCAACCGTATATTGGCCACCGGGAGATTTATATTTTTGTAGGCAGGTTGACGTTATAATATCTAGTAATTTTAAATACATTTGGAATCAATATGAGGTACTTAAAATTCGTCGTTCAAAATTATTTCGCCACGTTGGTTTGATTGTCATGTGGTAAAAAAGCCCCAATGGCTGATCTATGAACGCGTCTCCACTCAATCAGTAAACTAAATGAAAATGGTAACTGAAGTTTGTAAATACACAAACTTTCCTTTTAAAAGTGAGACACAATAATTTGACACACTCAAACAGATTTCTTAACAAAACAGCTACATTGAAACGTCACATTTTTCGCAGGTTTGTGGAAATGAATGTCACAGATGCTCATCCGCGTCTGGTAGGTACACAATTAGTTTCTAAGTGATGAATGTTAGGCAGAGTGCTGCGGAAGTGCGCGCGGATTTCATGTTGTGACTTGTCGAAACTTGTATAAATTGCAATTGACGACGCCGGGTTTTGAAATATACTAAGTGTCATATAAATCCGAACACCCAGTTTAAATGGTTTTATTTTAATAAAATTTTGTATAAGTATTTAATGAAGCATAATAAGTAAATGATAAAAATTTCAAAATGATTGCACTGCTTTAAAGCCCTTTGACCTTTAATAATGTGTGGATGCACCCTGATGTGCTACGCATTCTCCAACGCGCCTAGGCATGCTTCTGATCAGGTGGTCAATGTCCTCCTGTGGTATCTCATTCCAGGCAACCACCAACTCCTCTCGAAGTGCTTCTGGAGTCTGAGGAGGACGTTGCAAATCTCCTACCCATCATATCCCACACGTGCTCAATTGGGGATGAGTCGGGAGATCTTGGTGGCCATGGTAACAATGTGACATTATTATGTTGAAAGAAGTCTATTGTGACTCTTGCAACATGTGGTCGGGCATTATCTTGTTGGAAAGTTGGATCTGCCAGGGTGTCAAGATAGGGTAAAAGATGGGGTTCTAGAACTTCGTGGATATAACGCTGCGCGTTCATGTTACCTCTGATCAAGATTAAAGGTGACCTGGAACCATAAGCTATAGCACCCCAAACCATAACTCCAACAGTGTGATGAACATATCTTTCAACAAAAAACTGTGGATTCCTCCTTTCACCACGTCGCCTTCTAACCCTGGCACGACCATCATGCATGCCTAAACAAAATCGAGACTCGTCACTAAAGACAATACTGTTCCATTCCTGATCCCAGAGTGACCGTTGTCTGCACCACTCAAGGCGATTACGTCGGTGTTCTCGAGTTAAAGGGAGGACCCAGTGTGGACGGTATAAAAACAAGCCAAAACTTCTCATTCGTCGGTAAACACTTCGCATGCCAATAGGTCTTCCGTGTTCTGCAAACCATTCATTTGCAATGGTCCTGGTAGTGGAGAAACGGTCCCTTAAGGCCAATAATCTTAGGCGGCGATCCTCACGGTCTGTTGTTCTACGGCGGCGTCCAGTGCCCCTTGCTCTTTGCGTACGGCCTTCTCGAAGCCATGCCTGACAACACCTAACCACAGTGTCTACACTTCTTTGCACTCTAACTGCAATTGCCCGAAAAGAAAGTCCAGCTTCCCGAAGTCCCACTATACGGCCCCTATCAAACTCACTAAGTTGACGAAATCGTACAGGTCTCCGTACTCTAGGCATCGTAACCGACCGTAAAGGATGTCAAGAACCAAAATCCGCGAACGTTGATTCCATTTTGCGGCTGAAATATTCATTTTTAGAGCGTTAGTGAATTAAAGGCTGAAAATTTTTTCACTTGTTATTTACAGTAAGATAAATACATTCACCAACTTGTATTAAAATAAAACCATTTAAACTGGGTGTTCGGATTTATATGTCACTTAGTATAGTCAGAATAAGTGAATATGATGGGGAATTGGGAACTCCTGTTCTAATTGGACGTATACATACCATAGGCGTCAATTTTGCGCCCTAGATTAGTGAAATCGGGCCTTAGTATTTTGAGGTTTCCCTATCCAACCTATAACGCTACAACTGCCTGGTAGCAGCGGTAACGTACTGTATAATAAATTACTTGGGGTCCATGTTTCAGAGGCACAACGGTACATCAACCTGATTCAATTGTCAAGTTTTTCCATGGATTTTCATTGGACTCGCGTAGTAAGTGTGTATTACCACGGGAATATCTTGGAGAGCTTTTCTACTACCAGCGCTGTTTCCCCAAAAAAGTCTGTATAACGAACTACCTCAGGGTATCAGAAATTCGAACCTGGCACATTCAGGACTGGCAAAACAGAATGCAAATTCATATCAAGCACAAATAGACGAACGTGTGAAAATGGATTGCAATATGTAGTATAGCGAATAAGTGTAAGGAGGCATCTTTGACGCTTTATACGAGGTTTGTAAATTAAGTGATGAGACTGATTTTTTAAAATTTGTTCAGATATAATTTACACTGCCACGCAAAATTAACCGGATAAAAAAAATTTTGTTCAAATTAAATTTGAAATAACTCTTTAACCTTTGCATCAATTTCGTTAATTTTTTCGTCAAGTTACAGGTAGTTTCATTGTTATCATTATCGACTGCCGATCTTGCAAAGCTAATCGTCTAGTGTGGGGGCTGGTTGTCCCATGTGACAAGAGGCCCCTGCTAATTTGAGACAACCTGCCCCACTAGATAATTAATTTTTAAGGTTAGATAGCGTCACTAAATTAAAAATTTCAAAGTCAATACTTACGTTAAGTCGTATTCGGATTATTGAAGAGCAAAATAAATTCAACAGTTCTTTTTATTATCAAATGTAGTCTTGAAAACACAAATTATGTGGCAAATGAAAAATTTACTCAGGCCAGGCGATTTGTTAACTTTTGTGTGTGCGACCTTAATCTACCAACGACAACTTTCGTACTGAATACAAGTGTTCTGCGCGGACGCAGAAACTATGTGTAGCGCCAGGCAACTACATCTTGCGGAGCTGCTGAGATTTAACAATTGTGACAACCAACCCATGTGACAACCAGCCCCGGTCTCCCCTACCATCACTCCTCCACCACCAAACTTTGAGTGAAACAACTTTGAGCATAGCGTTCTCTACGCCTTCTCCACACTCTTTGGCGACCATCAGGTAAATATCTCGTAAAACAAGACTCGTCTAAATAGAACGTTTTTCTCAATCTGCATGAGCTCGAGAAAATACCTAGCGCTGTCTTCGAGGACCTACATCCAATAGAGGACCTGTAGCAGGTACACACGATGATAGGTTTCCTTTTCTCAACCTTCGGCGTTCGGTATAAGGTGAAAATATGGTATATTTTTTTTTTCTGCTTTAAATGTTATCTTCAATGTATTTTTGTTGTATTTGCATGTACTTGATTTTTTTTTTTTTTTAGCCCTGGTTGGTTCTGAAAAACAGCTTGTGCTGATGTAACCCGCCAGGTAAAATAAAGGCCATTTATTATTATTATTATTATTATTATTATGAACATCATCCAATCTTCAAGTCAAAGCTGTAGCAGGAACTGTCCTTTCTCGAAGGGCTTGAAGTCTCAGAAACCGATCTTCAGCTGCATTTGTTGCTTTCCGTCTTCCTTGCCCAGATCTTCTTGAGTAAGAACCAGTTTCTCTAAATCTTTGTATCCCATCGAATACCGTACTGCGTGGAACGGCAAGTCTTTCTGCGATATACCGAATAGGACGACCATCATCTTGTAAAGCTACAGCTTGCGCTACTTGTTCCGCTATCATTTTCGTTGAGTATTGCTTGACAAGAATCTTTTTGATATGCCACGAAAATGCTAGCAGACACAGCCTACTTGAAACGATTTCTTACCCTGCTATGATTCGCATGGTTTTCTTCAAAACAGCATATATTCTTCAATAATTGAGATATTGACATGAATCAAAAAAATAACTGTTGAGAAAAGTTGAGGCTTAAAATTCTCATACGAAGACACATTATTTAGTAATCCAATGTTTCAGAAATTTAGGGCAAAGTGCACCTTTTAGATGCACCCTGTATAACAACAAACCTTTTCAATTTTTTACCTACAACTTGACAAAAAAATTATATGATTGATAAATAGGTTCCTGCATATTTATTTTTGAACAGCTAGGCGTCGTCTAAGATGCCTGTTGGCGACAACCTCAATGAACGTTTTGCTTAGCTTAAATTTAACTACAACGGTACTTGAAATTATCGCACGAAAATAATAATTATCATAAAAATATTAATGTATGGACTAGCGATTAGTTAATGACGAGTTTAAGCATAGCAACCTTCCCAGATGACATTAATTAAGTTCCCCAACTAATCAATTTGGGACAATAGATCTGTTAATGTTGTTATGAAAATAGCACTACCAAATCCTACAAAATTATCCTTGACTGCTTGGCCTAAAGTAATGCGTCCAGTGCCAATTGAAGCGATGTGAACTAAGCGAGGACTGGCGGCACTAAGGATCCTGTACAAGATGAAAATAAGGAAATTGCGGCCCTTGCCTCAAACGCGAGAAGGGAGCACAATTAATGGATCCCTCTAGTTATTTAATTAAACCAATAAGGATTAAAATATTCCATCCCTTGTTCGTCTAACAATGCAAAGCAAGGCATATTGGTGTGTGGAACAGCCAATAATATCCTTGAATCATAAGGAATTGCTATAGATGCTAATATAACAGCTTTTAGAATCAAGGTCTCAGAAACCCACATAAAACTTGTCGATAATCTTATCATGCAAAAAACAACACAATTCAATCACTGGTATTAATTGACATACATAGAATCTAATCATTTGATAGGGGTAGCGTCCTTTCCCTGTGTATACGCACTTAAACTCTTTAGTATCATCTAAGGGCCATCATATTAG